CATTCCAATTTTCAAGTTTCTGAATTTCTCTTCTAAAAATCATAAAATTAAATAAAAAACAATTTTGAAATTAAGGAATGGTTTAGTTCATTTTAATTAAAAATAATTCATTTGAGAACGGAACAGTATGAAAACGCAGTGTTCAAAAATTAAAAAATCGCATTCCAATTTTCAAGTTTCTGAATTTCTCTTCTAAAAATCATAAAATTAAATAAAAAACAATTTTGAAATTAAGGATTGGTTTAGTTCATTTTAATTAAAAATAATTCATTTGAGAACGGAACAGTATGAAAACGCAGTGTTCAAAAATTAAAAAATCGCATTCCAATTTTCAAGTTTCTGAAGAAGACGATTTGGTGGATATGACTTCCGCTTGCCCAAGTCCCGGACGACGCCTCGTCCATTCGTTTTTGTCCAAATCCACGGATTGCGATGGTCTTACCAAAAAGCTTAGGCTACGGTAGTTGAGCTTCTGGAGCTCTTGGCGCTAATTCTGAGCCATCTGAATCCGAGTCTACTCGTACGATGCCAGGAGATTCTAAAGGTATCGGACGTTGCATCCCATTGATTTCCATGAATTTTTTGGCGATCATGAGAACAGTGTCTGGCTTGAAATTGGCGATGTCCATATCGGAAATGAGGAATTCCATATAGGGAACGGATTTGACGTCTTCGAAGAGGAATTTCTGAAAAACAATTTGTCAATGTTTTGCGTTTAAAATCACTTCTCTAGATGACCTTTGATCTAATATATGTCCGCTATACACGTACCCTTTGAGCACCATTATCTCAAATCGTATAAAAGATATCCAAAAATTGTAAATTAACAAAATGTTTATATGAGTATCATTAATGATAATTGAGCTCAAAAAGCAAGTGAAATTCTATAGGGTCTATCTGCGGCTTAAAATAAATACAAGGATGCACTCTAAAAAGCTTCAAACTCTCACCTTCATCGTCCTTCGTGATATTCTTTTCCAGGTATATAGTACAGGAATCAAAAGTTTAAATAAGAAATAGAGGGTTGTTGAAATTTCAGAAAAAATAAAGGATATGGAACCCAATCGGGGTTCCAAAGACGTACTGCTAGTGAGGTTCAGACAAACTAGAATATTCAAGTCTCATAGACTTCACTAGACCTGATCAATCTTCTTCGCCAGCAAGAACATCGAATGCTAATGAATTTGGGACTCTTTTGCGGCGGGTTGTATCATATTATATTGACGTGGTCATTATTACACCATACAGTGGCGGCATCCCTCCAAATAGCAAAAAAGGGATTTTTCTCTGCGTCTCTCATCTCTTTCATTTGTGCTATTTTGGCTCTTTGGCGGGACACCGCCATCTGTACCATTTTCCCTCTTTGTCGGAACACCGACACCTTAAATAATTTTGCTGTGTTCTCAGCAATGCGTCAAAGAGATGTAACAGGAAAGGGGTCAACAGATGGGTGCTTTGCGATTTAATAAGATTTTAGACGGATTCTCTCCCGAAGTCGGGAATATAACAGCACAGAAAATCTCAAACTAGTTTTTGTGCATTGGCATCTTTAATAAAAATTGAGACATTTCTAAAATAAAGAATTCACAATCGGATCGCACCCACCCGGTACTGACAGATAGAATAAGAGGAAATAAAAGTAGTTGGTAAGTGAAAAGATTTCTTATTTGGGAAAAATTGTTGAAGAATTAATATTCCTATTAATGATTTGATAAATCAAATGATCAAAGAATGAAAACAGCGAGTTGGATTACGGTAGGTCAACATTTGGTAGGTCAAAAACTAAATCAGCGTACTGCCCGTCCCATATCGACACTAATGCAAAAAAGTACTACCCGGAAGCTCTACTATGAAAAAAGTTATGACCAAAACAAAATTTCCGAAAAAAGTTGTACCGCATTTGGGACGGACTATCACAAAAACTAAAAGAGTCATGTTCACTTAATTTTTTAAGAGCTATAACAAATTAGCTTTGTTCCACCTTTGGTTTGAAGCCACCCTCGAGCTCTTCACATTCTGATTATCTAAATATCAGATTTTTTGAGTTCCTAGACCATTCTGGGAAGAATATCTACAAGCCTAATACTTTACATTTGCAATATACAATTTGTTTATTTTTCAGACCATTGTTGGGGAGAAAAAATCAAAAATTTTTGTAATTTGTGTGGTCCGAGCCGACTAAAATTGACCTATAGATTTTGAAATTTTAATACATCTTGTACAAGTTTGGGAAAATCTATCTTGTTTTGTGCTTTTTTTCAGAATTTCCATGATGCCAATTTTGGGAATCCCGATAGAAGTAGATTTGGAATTATAGAAAAAAATAGTTCCGGAAGGCTGCATTTTTTTTCATGTAAGAATATATTTGCTTGTTAATATATTTATATTTCAAGCTTTTTACATACCCCAATTATTTATTCTTCAGTTTTTTATTTTTCTGGTCTTTCGTTTCCTGATCAACTCATTTTCATAATTGACAGCTACTAGACACATGTAGTTTGATGATTTTCTACTTGATGCGTGCTTTTTTTTGTATGATATGTCAAAAAAAATGATGATGTAATTCGAAACACCAGAAGTTGAAATTTATCAAATGACAGTTATTATTGAAAATAATTAATGTGAAGTAGCCACATTGTTCTGCACATCAATGATTAAATGGAATCCGGAAAAATAAGAATGAGATTGAGAGTGAAAGCTAGTGGTGAAATGATTGTCTGTAGGATCAGAACCTGGCCTCCAAATACACAGTAACACTTTCCGGAGACGTAGTCGTACATCCTTGAATGCGAAGTTGCTCCTCAGTTTCAGGTCCAGCGACGATAGACCACTTCCTGAGCACATGAGCCAGTGCAGTTTTAGCTTCCGACATTCCCAGTCTCATTCCAACACATTGACGTGGTCCAGCACCAAATGGTATCCAAGACATTGTGTGGCGTGGAGCCGAAGATTCCAGCCATCTAAAAATGAAGTTTGGTGTTACGTTCCCAATATCATCTTGTTGTTACCTTTCCGGAACAAATTGCTCAGCATTCTCTCCCCATATTTCTTTAGAGTGGTGAAGAGCGGTAACATCTGCTTCAATTCGGACACCTTTATCGATAACGAGGCCACCCAAAGTTGTAGTCTTCACACATTCACGAGAGCAGGCACTGAAAAAATTGAAATTTCGAAAATTTTCTGAATTCGTGCACTATACTTACAACCAAGCAACAGGGTAGATTCTGAGAGCTTCTTTTATTATAGCGTCCAAATAGTTCAGCTTGGCTATATCATCGTAGGAAATGTTCTCTGAAGTGCAGATCTCGTCAATCTCTTGCTGAGCCTTGTGCATTTTTTCTGGGTTCTTAGCGAGTAGGTATGATGCGTAGGCGAGCGCATTCGCAGTTGTGTCAAATCCAGCAAGAAGGAAAACGAAACAAGATCCGATTACATCTTCAGACGTGACCTTTTTCTCTACAGTTGTTCCAAATTCAGCATCCTCGATTTCAGCTTCAGTGTAGTAGTCCAAGAACATGTCGATGAAATCGTTCTGGTCGTTTTCAATTTCTTGTTCGGCGTTGGCGGACTGAGTTTTTTTGATGAATTACTGTGCATTTATGTATGAACCAGATTTGTTTAAAAAATTTCTTCCGGGAATATTTGTTCTCAAAAATTTTTTCGAAAATATTTGTTTTGGAAATGTAGTACTCAAAAAATTTTCCAAATATTTTTAAAGAGAAATTTTGTTCTTGAAATTAGTATTTCGGAATTTTCGAAAAATCGGGAAATTGGTTTCTCAATTAACTTTTGCTAGTTTTTCACTATTTTTGTTAGTTGGTTTTTGTTAATTTCTATACATTTTTGACAAGATATTGATACATTTTCTTGAAAACCGACAAAAATGGTTTCCTAACAAATTTTCTCAGTTAAACAAATTGACATGAATATTTCAAGACAATTCCCGCCGGATAAAATTCCGAAGATTTCAGGAAAACGGGGAAAACGGAATTCCCGATTTGAACAAGTTCGATTGTAACTCACCCTTTCTTTGATTCTATCATAAACTGCTTTTTCGCAGAACTTGTATAGTAGGGCGACATCTCCTCCTCGAATCGACTCGTGTTTGAAGAAAAAGTTCTTCACGGTATTTTGGAACCTTGGGAACAAAACTGCCAAGTACCATGGCAGTGTTCTGTTGCTACGCATAAAGATCTGAAACACCAGAACATGTGGAGAGCAGAATAATAGTTAATTTACCTTCTTGACAATGTTCACGCCTTCATTATTGAACTGTTCAGAATAAGCTTGTCCCATTGCAAGACGGGAAATGACATCGTATGTAAACTCTTGGTAATATCTGCAATTTTTTAATAACAACCTAATTTTCCTGTAGAATGGTTCTACTCATGAATGTTGAAAGCTGCACTGTTTTCATGTTTCGCCATGTGATCAATCATGCAGAGAACGCTGTTTTCCATTGTGTTATGGACCTAAAGATGTATCGGATTACTCTTACAGTTAGTAAAAATAATTCTACCTGTTTCAATGCTCGGACCGAGAAAGCAGGAGATGCCAAAGATCTCAACCTCTTCCATCTTGCTCCACGAGCAGCAAAGAGATTGACTCTTGGCTCTTCTTGAGAGCACTCCAAGTCCCCATGTATGCGATTGGTATTTTTTCTAGCGTAGAAGCAATCGAATTTCTTGATGAAGATTTCTTGTAGAACATACACATCACTCACAACCAATACAGGTGTCGCACCTTCGTAGTAACCAAAAATTGAACCGAATTTCTATAAATTCAAATTTTGAATAGTTTTTTCTATCAACAATCAAGTGCTAACCTTGGTCCACTCATGGAGGATATATCCTCTTGGTTTATCCTTATCAGCAAGATCATAAAATGATCCAATAAATGGCAAACCAACCGGGCCGTCTACACCTCTTCTTTTCCAGTAGGTATGAATCCATTTGAAGTAACTGTAAAAAACAAATTAGTGGAAAAGTTACCTTGCCCTTACCTTGCAATAACAGCAAAAACAGCCACAAAACAAACGAGAAGACCCATTGTGTTTTGAAAACAACTGAGATGTGAGGTCTTCATGTAGATATTTATATGCCAGGTGGCACTGTCTCTATCCTATCTATTCCCTCTGTGTATCTTCTCGCCCCGCCCCTCCTTGGTTGTAGTCTGATCAGTTTGTAGTCGTGATGCCTACACCTAAGGAAACGAATTAGAAAAAAGAGGGAGATGCGAAGTATTCGGCGGGAAGAAAAAGCGGGTGCCGATCGGAAAACGGGTGGTTGGTTTTTGATTTTGTTCCAGTGTGACCCGGAACGATTTTGAGGGAAATTGTTGACATTTAATTACAATTTTACGAGATCGGTTACTGTTTTTTGGTGAATGTCATATGATTTTTAACGCATGCAACCAACTACAAAATAGCAGCTGAGTTCTCAAAATTTGAACTTTCTCAAGGATTTCCGTCTTGAAAGGACACCAAGAGGATGCGGCACTCCTTTGAGGTGGGGTTCGTCAAGATACCAATTTGAGTTCGTTATGTTAAAGTGCAAGTTTTTTTTTTCAAAGAACTCGTTTTGCAAAAGGTACATGTTGGTCGAACACTGAATGATGAAAAGAATGCAAACCGAAAACCAATTATAAATATTTTTCAATCTCAACGAAATAAACCAGTACGACCAAAGTTTGGTTTCAATACACGAAGGGACAACTGATGATCTTGAATTTTTCATTTAATACTTTTTCCAGGAACGCGGGAATTAGAAGCCATACTAATTAAAATTTACATTTTATTGTTGTTTTTTGTTCATTGAAGATTGTTTACGAAGAGGATTAGAAGATATCCGCAACTTTATCTAATCTTTTTAATATGAACTCCTCGCTCATTGTTGTGAATGTGCGAGATAGTAATTTTCTTTCGGGAAAAATAGTGATGTGGAAAGGTTTTGTTGAACATGAACATTGTTCAAACAAAGATGTCAGTTATCTGATAGAAAAGAGTTTCATATTTTTAAGAAAATCAAAACATTTTCAAATAAAAAGTAGAATTAAAAACGAATCAATGGAGTATATGATATAAAATTCGAATAGTAAACTTAAAAAAATGAAAATAGTGATGTTCTTATAATTAATGAATCAAAATAAAAAGAAAAAACGGGATAGCATTTTCAGAAAGTGACATAAAACACAAAACAAGCAAGAAAGGAAACTCGAAGATTTTTTCAGGCAGCTCGTAAAAAGAAACTGCTCTGAATGAATTTAAGATCCGGAAAATTTTGAATAACTTCTAAGAATAATGGGTCACGAACTTTGAATCTAAAACCTTTCCTAAAACCTTCGCAAAAAATGTCGTCCTAATTTTCATTTTACAAAGGAACCTCAACACTTTGTAAACTCAGAATTTTATGGAAATCATAAGAAATTTTAAAGAAAAAAACAGACTATCTAGACACTTTTGGAAAACTTCAGAATCCGCTCGCCAGCTTCAACCGAGTTAAATCAGTTCCAGTTTCAAAAATCTCTTTTCAATGCAAAACAGCAATTTTATGGATAATTTTATCATTTTGAAGGACGTTCCAGAACATAAAATTTGTTTTTTATATGGTACTTAGAAGTGAATTAAATTTCATATTTCAGACATTTTCAATTGAAAAAAAGTTTTATTTTCGAACTTTTCCACGATTCACTTTATGATTTAAAATCAGCCATACGGAACAACCAAGAAATGACAGCGAGCTGGAATTTGGCAGGTAGACCGAAAAAAAACGATAATTTCTTTTTCGGTCCCTTTTTTGTATGTGTTGTCTTCTGTTGCCTCCTATCCCCATTCATTCCGAACACTGGAGTCACGAAAACGATTTGTCAGACACACTCAAGTTTACAAGTATGTTTGTCTACAAACTTTTTTCGACATTGACCACTTCTTCAGCATTTCCAAAGTGTCATTTTACTGCCATGAATTTGAGTTTTTTATTCATTCTGATTGTCTCATTATTGATTAATTTAACTGAAACTACACAATGCCAAACATGTGATTCCTTTCAAGGCTATTGTGATTTCGACGGAACAATATGTGTGGGACCAAAATGCTCAAGACGAACAGCATCAACACCAAGTATGTCACTTTAAAAAATTCAGTTTTTCGTGAAATTAAGAGTTATAGGTGGTTTGATCCGCGAACAAAGGCTGTGTGTTCCATCAGATTCACCGACCGGATGCAGGAAATCTATATTATGGGATGAAATTGAGGGAATGGAATGCGTTTGCGAAGGACATTTGTGTAACACTTCTCATTTTCCCACTTCAACTTATTTAACAGTTACTGTTCTGATATTGTTATTCTGACATGAACAAATAATACGGAAAAAAAAACTTATTCTGTAGATTAATCTGTGAAAATGTAGATAAATACTGCTGTAAAGTAACGGAAAGGAAAGAAAAAGGATGAACATAATAGGTGAGCAACACGCTATCAAGATTGAGCTAATTTGTTTCGGTTCCTGTGCCAAACCTAAAATATTTGCAATCGATAAATTGTCATAATAATGTTATAAATATTCTATCAGTTGGTAGACTTAATGTCTATTTTCGACAAGAACCGAGATAAATTTGTTCAAATTTATCGTTCATTCCATTTATAAGTTCGGGAGCCGCCCTTCTACAGTGCGCGTCATAATTATAGGACACCCCTCCCAAATGAGTGTTGTGAAAAAACTAAGAAAGATAACTAAATTCTGTAAACGCGGTTCGATTCAGCGTGTGAAGAAATCTATGTCAACAAAATTTCAGACAAATTGAGCCATTTTTATGCTCACATGGCTAAAAAAATCATTTTTTAGGCCGCGTCATAATTATTGGACACCCCCGGAAAATGAAAAATCTCAAGTTTTTTAAGCGAAAAATTCAAATTTTTTTGTTGAAAATTGTCAAAACAATCTCAAAACAGCCTATTTTGATAATATACACAACCATTGATCACTGTATTCAAGTTTCAGAAAAAATTATTTTCAGACATGTTTGTTATTTTTTGGGTTTTTGGAATAATTTGTGAATAACTTTGCTCCTGGGTAAGCTTTCCTGCTGAAATTGATAGAAAACATTTTAAGAGTGATCATGATCAAGTTTCAAATGTTCCCGATATTTTGAGATTTGACAGCTCAAAATTGAGCTCGAGTTTTGAACTGAAAAAATATTGCTGGACCGAAAAATTTTTAACGCTGTAAATAATGTTCGAAAGGCTTCCTAAATTACCAAAAATGTCATTAAGGTTGTGGATTAGTACGGAATGAAAACTTTCAATTATCAAATCAAGTTTTTCACCATAATTAAATTCACTGAATTTCAACGGCAGTTTTAGAATTTTTAGTTTTGCCTGAAATTGGAATTTTTTTTTTGAAACTTGAATACAGGGATCAATGATTGTGTATATTATCAAAATGGGCTGTTTTGTGACTGTTTTGACAATTTTCAACAAAAAAATTTGAATCCCTTAAAAAACTTGAGATTTTTAATTTTCCGGGGGTGCCCTATATTATGACGCGGCCTAAAAAGTGATTTTTCAGCCCTGTGAGCATAGAAATGTTGGTTTGAAATTTTGTGGACATAGGTTTTTCTACACGCTTATTCGAACTGCGTTTGAATCGTTTAGTTATTTTTTTTTTGGTTTTTTCACAACACTTATTTGGGAGGGGTGTCCTATAATTATGACGCGCACTGTATTATAGGTTCTACGGTGATTGTTCTCTGAAATAAAGTGCGGGAGAAGTCAACACTTGTATTTGAAATGTAGAAAAATCAATATGTTTCAATTACAGTTAAACAATTGTTTTTCGAAATACGAAAAAACGTAATGATGGTGGTTTGAAGTAAACTTTGAGGATAAGGCAATGTGATAAGCTTTCTGTATTTATTTTAAAATTTTCTCCTTCAAATTTATGAAATAAGTATAATTACTCAGATTTAAAAATGTTGTTTCTCAAATTTATCTTCTCTTCTTTATTTTTTTTTCTCCAGTGAAATCTTTGGAACTTTCTCAATTTATGAATTCTAGAGAAATTTTTTCCCTTTGCAACGTGATAAGTGAGTAAATATTGATAATCTTCTTTGGCAAGAAAAGAACTTTTCATTCATCATAAACTTTAAAGTGTTTCCATTCACCACCTCTCTCATCGAGTTTCTTGCCAGATCAGTTATGACAACAGTTCAAATTTTCCGAAGAGATATGACTATGAAACTCATTTGTTGTGTCGGAAGGATGATACCGTTTTTTTCAGATCAACAGATATTTGGATTTATTCAATGAGCGTTATTTTCTTACAAATATAATCGAAGTTGTGTAGCTACGGAGTTCTGTGAGTACGAGCTTTGAAAAATAAAGTACATTGGTAAATAAGTATGCCACTGAGAATCAATGCAATCAGAAGGAGGAATTATTATAACAACCTGGATTTAGAATCTGGCCTTCAAGTGCACGGTGACCTTTTCTGGAGACGTAGTGGTACACCCTTGAAAGTGTAGTTGATCCTCTGTTTCGGGTCCCGCGACGATTGACCATTTACGGAGCACGTGTGCCAATGCCATCTTTGCTTCCGACATCCCAAGTCTCATTCCCACACATTTTCGCTTGCCGGCACCAAACGCAAGAGATGCAAGTGGATGACGTTGCTCATCAAACCACCTGGAATAGCGTTTTTTTTCAAAAAATTCAGTAATTTAAAAATACCTTTCGGGAACAAATAGTTCTGTACCATCTCCCCAAATCTCTTTGGAATAATGGATGGCTTTGACATCTGCTTCAATTCGGACACCTTCATCGATGAGGTGAGGTCCGAGTGTAGTCTGCTTCACGCATTCACGCGAGCAAGCACTGAAAATGAGAAACTTTTGGAAAAATAAAAATAAATAAAAACTTACAACCAAGCCACTGGAGAGAGTCTCAATGATTCCTTTATAACTGCATCCAAATATTGAAGTTGGCCTATTTGTTCATATGTGATGTTGTCTAAATTGCTAACTTCATCAATCTCTTCCTGGGCGATCTTCATTTTTTCGGGATTCAACGCCAGAAGATGTGCTGCGCATCCGAGAGCATTGGCTGTAGTATCGAATCCTGCTAATAGGAGCACGAAGCAAGAACCAATGACGTCTTCCACCACGCTTGCTTGATTGTCTTTCCGCTTTCGTTGTAGCTTTGCTCAATTTCCGAGTAGTGATCCAGGAACAGATCAATAAAGTCATTCTGCTGAATTTCTTCCCCTTGAGCAGCTTGCTTTTCCTGAAAAAAAAACATCGAAAATTGCAAAATTATCGCAACTCACTCTCTGCTTCATTCGTTCCATCACCGACTTGGCGCAATACATAAATAGCTCCGCTATTTTCCCACCCCGAACATTCTCGTGGTTGTAAAACAACTGTTTCACTTTGAACTCGAATTGAGGGAAGATTGAAGCCAAGTACCAAGGGAGCACTCTATGAGTTTTCAGAAGAATCTGAATAGAAAGTTGTTCAGAAAGGTTTACTTCTGAAAATCTCACCTTTTTTACGACATCGATTCCATCATTCTCAAACTGTTTGACTCCTTGTTGTCCCATAGCTAGTCTGGAGATGACATCGTAGGTGAATTCTTGGAAGAAGCTTAACATTAAAAAAAAAAATTTTTTTAAGGAATAAAAATATATCGTTACCAGTGGATATTGAAAGGTCCATCATTCTCGTGCTCTCCGAGAAGTTCCACCATTCGAAGAACGCTTTCCTCGATTTTTCCGTGGAGCTGAAAAACTGCTGAAGTGCTAATACTGGAACCAATATTTCAAAACACTCACTCTTTTCAATGAAGCGACGCTGAATCCGGGTGTGGTCAGAGCACGCAACTTTTGCCAGCGAGGACCTCTAGCTGTGAAGAGATTGACGCGAGGCTCCTCTTGGAGACTCTCCATGTCGCCGTGGAGCATGTTAGTCAGCTTTCTGGCGTAGAAGTAGTCGAACTTTTGAATGAACACTTCGTGCAGAATTTCCAAATTGCTTGTAACGAGGACAGGAACAGTTCCTTCATAGTACCCGAAAGTCTCTCCGTAGAGCTGAATATATATACAGTGCGTCGCATAACTATAGGACCCCCCTCAATTTGAGGTGTACAGCAAAAACTAGAGTAGATAAGAAAAATCTGTGAATGCAGTTCAGAATCAAAAATAACCCTAGAAATTAAATTTTCAGAACCCTACCATTTTCCATACCCTCACGGCAAGAAAAAGGTCCATTTTCGACCGTCGCATAACTATAGGACCCCCAGATGTTTTGGGTGCACAGGTCGTTTTTTGACCATTTTATCTACTCTAAATTGTTTTATTTACGTTTTTCATTGTTTCAAGCTTTTTCTGAAGATGTTTCTCGCAACTTTCTTTCAACATCTTCGTGTGGAACATCCAACAATGCAAGGAACTCATTTTCGAGATCAAGCTTCACTTCTGGCCCTTCCGTAAATCTCCAGCTGCATTTTTTTACAGTAATTCGGATCGTGGCGATAGTTTGATGTTCAGGTACAGTAACTGAAAATATTAGTTGGTCCCTATCCCAAAAATATGCCTCGGAAACATTCGGAAACATGGCTCGCGCTACACTCCTCTCTCTTGCCGAACAGACCAAAGTGGATGTGATGAAACAACTTGGACTGACACTTCACGAGATGTCCCGTCAACTCACGAGAAGTCGTAACGTCATCCGAAAATACCTCGCCAACCCATTCCATTACGAGAAGAAGCTGAAGGAGTCTGCTGGAAGACCGAGAAAGCTGACTTCACGTCAAAAACGCAGCATCTTGAAATCAGTCTCCAACTCGCCCAAAAGTCTGAACGATGTGAAGAACGAACTCAAGCTGCCAGTCCACAAGAGTACGGTGGGCAGAATCATCAAAAGAAGTAAAGTCATCGTTCGTCAGAAGATGGCCACAGTTCCGAAGATGACTGATGCCCACAAAGCAGCACGTCTCAATTTCGTGAAGAACTATTTGACTACGAAATGGGAGAACGTGAGTTTGAAACAATCAATTTTGAAAAGAAAAATGAATTCAAATCGTGTTCTCCGATGGAAAGAAGTGGGATCTCGACGGTCCTGATGGCAACATGAACTAATGGAGAGATTTCCAAAAAGATCCGCAGCTGTTCTCCAGGCGCAACTTTGGCGGCGGCTCTGTTATGATTTGGGGCGCTTTTTGCAATGGAAAAAAGCTCGAACAGCAATTCATCACCACGAAGGAGAATTTTGCCACGTACCAAGCAACTCTCCAGAAGGCCGTGGCTCCGTTCTTCCGCAACAGACGCCACACCCACACGTTCCAACAGGACAACGCATCTATCCACACGAGCACCTCCACGAGGAACTGGTTCGTCTCGAAACGAATCAAGGTGTTCGAATGGCCAGCATGCAGTCCGGATCTAAACCCCATTGAGAACATATGGGGCATCCTCGTTCGCCGGGTCTATCGAAACGGGAGGCAATTCAAGACCGTGCAGGAGCTCAAGGACGCAATCCAGGCTGAATGGGACGCACTCACTGATGCCGAATTGAGGAATCTCGTAGCCAGCATGTTGAGCAGGATCGTTGAAGTGATTCAAAACAACGGCGGAGAGACTAAGTACTGATTTTTCGATGTGTTTTTTGTTAGTTGCTTAGAATAAATGGATTTTGTTGACTGAAAGGAAAATCGGATTCAGAGATGTCCACTTTGAAAGAAAGTTGCGAGAAATATCTTCAGAAAAAGCTAATCGTAATGGAGTGGGTCGGCGAGGTATTTTCGGATGACGTTACGACTTCTCGTGAGTTGACGGGACATCTCGTGAAGTGTCAGTTCAAGTTGTTTCATCACATCCACTTTGGCCTGTTCGGCAAGAGAGAGGAGTGTAGCGCGAGCCATGGTTGAAGGAATGTTTCCGAGGCATATGTTTGGGATAGGGACCAACTAATATTTTCAGTTACTGTACCTGAACATCAAACTATCGTCACGATCCGAATTACTGTAAAAAAATGCAGCTAGAGATTTACGGAAGGGCCAGAAGTGAAGCTTGATCTCGAAAATGAGTTCCTTGCATTGTTGGATGTTCCACACGAAGATGTTGAAAGAAAGTTGCGAGAAACATCTTCAGAAAAAGCTTGAAACAATGAAAAACGTAAATAAAACAATTTAGAGTAGATAAAATGGTCAAAAAACGACCTGTGCACCCAAAACATCTGGGGGTCCTATAGTTATGCGACGCACTATAAAGTCAAGAACTTTATTTTGCCTTATAATCTCACCTTGGTCCATTCATTCAAAACAAAACAACGCGGTTTGTTGGCATCGGACACATCATAGAAGCTCCCAAGCAATGGCAATCCCTGCGGACCATTTATCCCTCTGTCACTCCAGTACTTGTGTTTTTTCCGGAAATATCTGTAATCCAAAACAAAGTTTCTTTTGTAATATTTTTTCCAAAACTCACAGAAACACAGCGACGAAGAGAGTGACGATGAAGATAGTGAAGCTGACGACCATTTTCTCAACGAAGAATATCTAAAAGATAAACTAGTGTAAAAAACTAATAAAATTAATTCTTGATACAATAGTCGGCTATCGATCTCCTCTTCTTTTATACTAATGATCTTATCATGTAGACTACACATAAGAAAATGGCGAATTATCTTCTTCTTCTTCTTCTCTTTTTTTCCTAGAATCGTAAACGGTTATGAATACATTTATCACTGACAAAAAAATATAGATGTTTTTATCAAGGGAAAAAACATCAGACGCCAAAAAACTTATCTGTAGCATGTGGAATGGAACTGTTGGTGAACGAGAGTTGATTTCAACGATTCAAACGGTTAATTCGATAATTAACTGTCGTCTCGGATCAATAAAGAACCACGAGAAGAAGTATTTGTTTTTTTTTTTTTCAACGGCATGAAGGACATTCACGTAAAATTACTTCACTGAGTTTAACAACAAATATAATTTAAAGTAAAAAGCTGGCAATTTCAAATTAGTCGTATTTGAAAATTTTTCTATCACTTTTTCATGTTAGCAATATCCGTTTTTATAAAGGTTGATTAGCAATTCAAATAAGTGCCACTAATTGAAAAAAAAAGAACAAAAAGAGATTATTTCTTCCCTTATATGATAATTAATATATAATGGAAAGTGTTCGCCTGAGTTCATTATTTAGAACATCTTTAATTTTATTCAAATTTCAGATCGAAAACACGAAAATTCGTAGATTTGAAAATTCTGAAGTTGGTAAGTTCGATAATTCTAAATTCGGAAATTTAACATTTGACAATTCAAATATTCAGAAATCCGGAGTTTGTGAATTTATAAACTCTGAATTTTAGAAATTTTGAACATTAAGAAAACTACTAATTCGGAAGTTTGGAAGTTCAGCAATTTTTGAAAATTTATAGTCTAGGATGTTCAACGATTTCAGACAGGGAGCCCGTATTTTTCTTGCATTTTCACTTCTCCTGCTTTTTTAGAATTTTATCTTTTTTTTGAAAACTGTAAAACGTGAATTATAAAAAAACAAATTTTTGTCAGATATAACGTGGATGAATAAAAAAAATTTGGGAAGTTATGTGGGTTAACGGTTAATATTATATTGCTATTGTTCTGGACATTCGTACTTTATAAGCGAAATCCAGAAGACGTCGTAGTTCGAACTTAGAAATAAGGAAAAGTCCGGCATTATCCTTTACAAAATTCTGATTTATCTGTCCAGTTCGGTTTCGACTTCCGAATTTTGATTTCCAGCTTCCAACTTCGGTTTTCTCTTACGAAAAAATAAAAATTGTTCACTTCCTAGTAAAAGTGGCTGACGGTCTGAAATAATATTGAAATAATATCTGTTTCCATTTTAAAACACTGTTTTCATCGTCTTCTCACAAAAAAAACATTGTGGTAGGAAATAAATTTTAATCAAAAATCTACTTGTTTTTGATAACGATAAAAACTGGCAGAATATTTACCGTTTTATAAAAACATTAAGTTTTTCACTTTTCGATGTTTCTATTTTGTCCAGCACGAACGAAATGTATTCTTGAACTTCAAAATTTGATTTTCAGATAAGAAGTAAAAATATATATCACAATTACAAGCTACGAGTTATTTCACAAGTCATAAAACCAAGAAACAGTTCATAAGCTAGACTTTAACCAATGCGGAGTTTCTGTCCCATTTTTTTGATAAGTTTTTTGGGTTTTTGAGCTCCATTCCGGAAAGACACAAATCATAGATGAATAACAATTGGAATACAATCTGACAAAAAAAATGGTCTTGATTAGTGGTACCAGACACCAAACAGAAACAATTAATGGATTGTTTACAGATTAATAGAGGGCGATGACGAAACACCTGTCTGAAAATAACAAACATGACAATGTGGAAGGATAATTTTGAAAAGGTAACTAAATTTTTTTCGTTTTTTTCTTATATAACCTTTGATTCATTTTTTGCTCAAATCTTTTTTGATAGATCTATGCAACTCTTTCTTTTCTAAACCTACACAACAATAGCCAGATTTCCAAAATCTATGATATATCTCTATTGTCCCGTGGGAATCAAATTTGCATTTGATCTTCAGTAACACCGTACTTTCCGTTGCATATAAAAACCACAGTACCTCTCCTTCTTCTTCAATTCTCAAAAACCCCAAACAGAGCACATACTACAATCGGTTGGGTCACGAGAGCACAGTTTTGGCTCGTCATATCTTATCAACTTACAAGTCGATAGGCTGACACTGTCCTGTTGTATAAAAATGCACGTTATGATAGGCAGACACCCAAATAATTTTAGTAGTTGTTATCAACCAATTGTACTGTTTGTTTGAGCACTTTGAATAACTGACCGGTTACAGAAACAATGTCGGAATTGATCATTGAAGGAGTTCCACTCACCAAGGAATGGTTGGCAAACGTGGTGGAAAAGAAGCTTGGTGTGAGACCCAAAATTGGAACGGTAGGTTTTTGTATATTTCACTGTGATTGTGTTCCATTTTTTCAGAGTGGAATTCTGGACAACTCCGAGTTGGGGTACATGTCTATGATTCGTAAAGTGGAATTGCATTTTGATGCCGAACAGGAGGAAAGCCAGCAAAATCTGCCAAAACACGTCGTGTTGAAGGTGAGGGGAACACGGAAAGTAGATAAAACACACAATAGGTAAAACATGTGACAACTGATAGAATAGTTACTTCAAAATTTTGCATCATAATTTCAGCCACTAGTTACACAAATTTGTCGTTGTCCCAAGTTCATATATACTGATTATTAAAATAGAGATTTAAAGCAAAATTGACCTAGTTTGAATTTCAAAACAGAAAACGTATATACAGTACCGGCCTAAAATATAATTTTTAAAAAGTACTTTTCTGTTGATTTTGGGTCATTTTGACCATTTTCTGTAAGGTATTTTTTGTAAGGTGTAAAACAGATCCAGATTGGAAACTTTGCATTAACAAAACTGTTCGAATATTCCAAGTTTTTTTTCTGTTTCTCCAAATTTTTTAAACTGATCGGCATCTTGACAACCGATGTTCAGGTTCTTGAAAATGATCCTGTTATGTCCTCTTGGTGTCTATGAGACGAGGTTAAACTAAGAGTTTATTACATAAGAGGGAACCATTTAACACAGAGTTCAATAAGCTTATATAGGCAGCTGTTATCGCCACGTAGATCTGAGGGTTGACGTCATCCAGATAGTTCAAGCCACAACAGGTCCAAATAGAAGAAAATCAACAGAAAAATACGTGCTTGTCTATCAAATTGACCGATACAGTATGTACCGATACTCAAGTAGAAATTTGAGAAAAATAAACCTGTTTCCGGTTTTGTAAATATTTTGTAAAATTGAGATAATTTTGACAGTAACATTTTAAGCAAACAAAATTTAAGATCGCATGCAGTGCCAAAGGAAGTGGTGTCATTGAGAATGCTGGAGGTGAAGTTGACAGTAAAAACTCAGCTGCAGTTGAGCAATTCATGCACAACACCGAGTGCAACTACTATCGAATTTTTGGAAAACGTAAGGAAAAAAACAGATTCAAACAAATCACTAATTCTATTTCAGTGACCGATAAACCACTCAAGGTCCCAACCATTTACTCAGCGTCAAAGGCTGGAGATGAAGATGCCCCAGTTCCAGTTATTGTCATGGAGATGTTTGAAGACTGCAAGGTTTATGACTTGATTGAGGGATTTAATGAGCAACAGCTCTACAAGATTGTTGATCAGCTCATCATGTTGCACATTTTCTCACTGACAACTGAGGATTGGAAGGAGATCAAGCCAGATGCCATTGTAAGCAACAAGTCTTATTCTAGAGACAATTTTTAATTTTTATAGATGTTGGAAATGGGAGCTGTGTTCCAAACTATGGTGAAGAACATTGCTGACAATCTTGCCAAACAACCAGGTCTTGAAGCAATTGCTACTTATGTCAAGAACACTTTTGAGAAAGACGCTAGATTTATCGAGAAACTGGGAGAGGAGTACTTGGAAGAAAGTGAGCAACTTTAAAAAAAATGTGTTGAAATTGTTCAATTATTATAGAACGAGTTTCTGTGCTGACTCATGGAGATCTCTGGGCACCACAAATTCTATGGGATAAGGAGGATAACATTGCTGGTATCATTGACTGGCAAATCACTCATCGTGGAAGTCCAATGGAAGATTTACACCATGTTCTCTCTACCTGTACTTCTGTGGAAAACCGCAAGAAGCTTACCGAGCCACTTTTGGATTACTACTTTGACAAGCTGAGCGCTGGATTGGAAGCTAAGGGAGTGAAAATGCCATGGACTCGCGAGGATATTGAAGTGGGTCTCTTATTTGGGACATCGTTACTAAAATTACGGTTACAGGAAGAATTCAAACACAACTACATTCACGGAGCGGCGCTGACTATTTTTGCCAACGGATTTTGGTCTAATTCTCCTGTTCTTCAGACTGACGGAAAGCCAGATCTCGGACGAATCGCTGAGTCTTTCGCCCGATGCAAGTCGTATATTGAAGAGACTGTTCAAGTGCACAACATGTCATAAAATCACTTTATTTTTTAAAATGCCTATTCAATTGATTTTTGTAATTTTCAAATGATAAATATGAAATTTGGGGGCTCCCTCTGATGTTTTGACAACTAACTAACCTAGATAAAGTCATGTATTGTAAAACCTGTATAAGAAAAACTCCTCTAATAGAAGGGCATTCCGAGACGAGCTCGGAAAAATAGGAAAATCCTCCATCATGATTTTCGTAAAAGTTTTCGATTGAAATTTTCGGAAAAAAGGAAGAAGAAAAACGCCCCCTTCATTCGGAGGACCCTCCGGAGGTAGGCACATTGCTAGAACAACGAAATGGTTGGCTCTTCTGATACAGGCTAGTTTCACGGTATAAAGTTTTTCGACTTATAGGGTTCATCACATATGTCGTCATCCCCACCATCTTAGGTTATCAATCTTCTCCACTACAACTAACTTTGTCTTATCTGTCTTATTCCTATGCCATTCGTCTCAGCAAACACTAACATCTTATCTACTCAGAACCGATTGAATTGTCTTTGATTTTATAGTTTGTAGTCTGAACAGTTTTTGTACTGATTAAGTTTATTTTACTGGAATGTAAAAACCGTGAAGAGAAATAAAATTGGATAGGAGGCTACAGCAAGAAAGAAGTTACGGAAGTTTTCAGAATCTAACTGGAGATTTTTCCCAGATCACATCTGGTTGGCAGCTTCAAAAACTTTGACCACATCTTCGTAGACCTGAAAAACAAATTTCTCGACTTGTACAAATTCTAGAAACATTACCTCTTCAACCGGTCTCTCACTGTCTACTTTGCGAACCATGTTAAGTTTACCGAAATGTTCGATGATTGGGAAAGTTTGATTGTTGTACGTTTCCACACGCTTCTTCAACGAATCCACGTTGTCGTCTGTACGACCTTCCCCTCTGTTGAGGCAACGGTTGATGCAGATATCTACTGGACACGAGAGGAACAAAACGAACTGTTCGTGGACTTTTCCAGACATTTGCTTGCTCCATCCGGAGAGATTGTCGGCGTTGCGTGGGAAGCCGTCGACCAAGAAGCCGTTGGCGGTTTTATGGAGGTTCATTGCCTGGAAGAATTTCGAAAAGTATCTTTTTGGAAGGTCTTGCTATCAGTAGTCAGTGGTAGGATTCAAATGCCAAACTTATACAAAAAAAATGCAAAACTTACATTTTCAAGCAGCGAGCAAGTGATCTCCACAGGGACAATTGAGCCATTCTTGATGTGGCTCTCGATGAGAGCTCCGAATTGGCTTCCAGCTCGTTCACGCTCAGCTCTCAGTAAGTCACCAGCGGAAAGGTGCACATATCCAAGATTCTGAAAAGAAATTGGTTTTTTGAAGCTTAGTTTTACAGTACAGTACAGATCAATAAGAAATGTGAAACCGGATTTTTCAGATCATTTTCTGTCATTTTGACCATTTTCTGGAGTCGGGAGCTAGGTTGTCAAGTTTCGAATCGCTTTGAAAACATTCGAGGGTTTGAAACAGATCTATTGAAAACTTTGCTTTCACAGAATTTTGTGAAAAAATTTCGGGTTTTTAGCCATTTTCCGATTACTCAAATAGGCCCATTTTTTACCAGTTGTGTGAAAAAGGCAGGTATCCTTCAAACATCGTCAAATAACTGAAAAAAACGAGGAATTTTTAAAAAATTCTTTGAGTGCAATGTTTCCAATCTAGTTCTGTTTTACATTCTCTTAAATTTTCAAAGTGATCGGAAACTTGATAGCCGAGTTCCAGACTACTGAAAATGATCGAAACGGCCAAAATTCAACTGAAAAATACGTTGTTGAATATCTCATTGGCCAGTACTGTAAGTTATGATGGTTCGAAAGCCTCTTGAACTTCAAGAATCCCTTTTTTGACGAAAACAGATCACTATTTGCCCAAACTCATTAAATCCTCACCTACCTCTTGAATCTTGGAGCAAATGGTTCCTTTTCCAGATCCTGGAGGTCCGAGAACAAACACGACGTTGAACATATCGGCCGGCGATCTAGAATTCAGAAATAAAAATGTGTCGTGAAGTACGTGGAAATCGCGCAATGAAAGATATTTGACCCGATAGGCGGAGGCGGTGAAACAAGTTGCGAAAATAGTATGACGTATCTAATGAGACGCAGAAGTGAACTGACGGGAACGACACACGCTACAATTTCTATGTTATGTTATTAGTGGGAAACAAGAGAGAGGACGAATGGAGGACAAATGAAAGAGGATTGATTGAAGGTGACGTTGAATAGAAGCCAAGGCGGAATGCCATCCAACCCACTAACATTCGTTTCTTTCTTGATTTATGTGAAAGAAATTATCACTTTCAAAAGCTAGTGATATGGGGAAGAGATTGATAGAAAACTAGGTGTCTTTGTTCGTCTGATTGGAAACATAATGAAAAGTGATAGACAGTTGAACATTCTAAATTTAAACTTATCTAAATTTGACAGTTATCGAAAGTCTGTAAAGTGTAGATTACAGAATACAATACATCATTGAACTGACCTCCACGTAGACTAGACCTAAAGACTCAGACTGAAGTCCAAAAATTGCCTTTTTATACATATTTCCGGGAACCCTTTATTTTTAATAGCTAAAATAGGGATTCTCGGATCAGATAATTATAATCCTGTTCTCCTAGATCGTGCCGGATAACATAGGTAGCGCGGATGTACTTTCTTTTTTTTCAGAAAACGTCAATCAGTGGAGTGAATGCGAAAAAAATGGGCATAAAAGGAGAAAATGAGGTTGAAATAGATAAAGAATTTTTTTCGATAGTGATGCCAGGCTGACACTCTCATCGCTGGAAAAATGGGAAATGAAACTTTTTTCATCATACTTTTTATTTCATTAGACGATTATAGAGATAAGGGTTGTTGATTTCGGAAAAAATGGAGTGAGGGCATCGAACAAGTTCACACAACGCTCGATGGAAGTACATGTACTTTTAAGCAGATCATTAAATTTGAAAGGAAAAATGCACAAGAACAAAACATGAACATAGGGATCCCGAAAATGCATACAGGCATGATAACTCTGTGAAGAAATGAAGAGAAAACACCGCACACTTTTCGCTTTCTGTATCACTTTAGATGCAGCCCCTCCATCAGCCGCCATAGCTCAGTCGGTTAGAGCGTGGGTCTAATAAGCCCAAGGTCGCAGGTTCTACCCCTGCTGGCGGCAAAATCTTTTTTCTTTTTTGTATTATGAAAATTGCATTGTTAAACTGAAATTTTCAGAAGAAGAGCTGTTGCCTATAAAAACATAGAATTTGGAAGTAAAATCTAAAAATCGGACATGTTCAAAAAACTAGTCTGTGGTCTGCCTCTCTGATTGTCATATTTGAGCAAATTCATCTTCTGTAAGCCAGAGAAGATCTGGAGTTTCAAATATTCGGAAAAGTTAAAAATACAAAGTTTGAATAACTTCAATAGTTGAAAAAAAATGTTCTGGAGATACCTTCGTTGACTGAAAAATTAGAAATTTAAAAAGTTCTAGAAAATATATTAATCCATTTGAAAAAATGTATCAACTTTTTGAAATTTTCAAATTTGATTTTGGAATTTGCCACATTCGAAAAATACAATTTTGATTTTTTTAAAACAAATCTTTTAAAATTGATTGACAAAAAAGTCGAAGACTTTCCGTATTTGATTTCGTCAATGCACTTCCACCTTTTACGTGCACTTTGAGCTCAATTATATCGGTTCCTGTAAGAGATATAAAAAATGTTCTATTGTTAAAATATTGGCAACGTTATGATTAATCATTTATCAGTTGAAAAAACTTTGATATCTCTTAAAGGAGCCAAGATAAATAAGCTCAAAGTGCACGTATGGAGTGGGCTTCTATCACAGAAAATAAGACGTATGGCAAAGGCCGGGCCGGGCCGATATTATTTTTTTCTCCGGCCCGGCCCGGCCGGAAGCCCCGGCCAGCCCGGCCCGGCCGGTTCGGCCGGTTCGGCCCGTTCGAATTTAAGAAAAAACAGAAATTATTGAAGAATTATTTGAATTTATTTCTTAACAAGTAGCATAACAATGTAAAAACCGTATAAATGAACAAGGGGAAACAAAGAAATGGAAAAAAAATCACTACAATTAGTGAGAGAATCAGCCGAGCCAGTGTGGAAATTTCGTGGCTATTTGCGAACCCAGAACGACCATCTCCACACGCTTGTACAGTAATCTTGTTCTTGTTTTATCTAACAAAAACGACGCAGTGCTGAACGTAGTCTCACACATGGCTTCACTGGGAACAATCAAAAAACGAAAAGTGCTGCTGAGTACAGTCCGGGGTATTCGAATCTTTTTCTTTTCCAATACTCCTCAACCGATTCGTTCGTTGAAGGATCGTAGTACTCGGAGAGATATCTTGAGATTTCTGAAGAAGTGGATGTTGAGTTCGCTAATGGCGCGCGTTCAAATATTAATTAATTGCCGGCCTGCCGGGCCGGGCCCTGGTTTTTTTTCCCTCGGACCGGCCCGCCGGCCAGCCCGTCAGATTGCAACCCTGCTTGTCGTCTTTTCTATTGGCAGAGTTCAACTTTAACCTAAATCTTAAGCAATGATTTTTAATAGAAGCCCATCCTATACGTGCACTTTGAGATCAATTATCTCGGTTCCGCTAATAAATATAAAAAATCTGTCAATTGATAAAATATCAGCAATGTTATGATCAACAAGTTAGCAGTTGACAATTTTTACATATCTTTGGAACGAACTAAGATAATTGAGTTCAATTTACATGTAACATGTGGGCTTCTATTAGGTTGGCCGGAAAGTAACTGTCCATTTTTTTATTCGTGATTAACACAAAAATAAGAACCATCCAAGATTGACAGGATGCACCGTCGTGGTCCACGACATGTTGACAACATTCAGGCAACTTGTGGATACCATACCTCCAAAAGCCAGCTGGCCGTGAATCAAAGTATACCTTCCCGGACGTTTTTTTCTCATCGACAGTGTAAAATTATTTTCCCTCCAGATGACGTCGAATATCTCCGAATAGCCAAAAATAAAAGGGTCAAGTCTGGAGTTTGAGGAAAGTGAAGAGCCGTCCATCCAAAGCGTCTTAGGACTGAATTGAATTTCATTAAATAACTCGAGAATCTATGTTCCACGGTAAGTCAAGTAAGACCTGGGCCGCTTTAGCTGGACGTTCCTCCTTTACGCTCTTCTAACTCCTGATTCGGCCCTTTTATTATTGATTATTAGGAGATATGCAACGTCATCTGGAGGAAAATAATTTAGCACTGAAGTTGAGATAAATCTGGACTCAAGAAATACTTTGTGTCGCAGCCAGCTGGCTTTTGAAAGTATGGTATCCACAAGTTGCCTGAATGTTGTCAACATGTCATGGACCGCGACGGTGCATACTGTCAATCTTGGATACCGTAAAACCTCTAATAGAACGATTCTTAACCCCCAAATAGCATTGTACTCTAATGACACCAAAATTTTTGTACCCTCCGAATTATGTGTCATTGGAAATACCAGAGTGGCAAATTAATATGGTCCGTATTTGAACATGATGTAGTACTCGACGGGTTCGGATTCGATGTGCTCTCCCCAGTGCCACATGCTGTCGAGAAGATAGATGTCCATGAGAAGATTCAAGTTTTCCTCGAAGTTCTCCTTCGCGTACCAGTAGAACGCGCGAGTCTCATTGGACATTGGAGAAGTGTCATAAGTCAAAGTCTCCAGTTTGTCGTTGATGAAATCCTCAACAGCTTCTTTCATTGCTGCAAAAGTTGAAAATTATGGGTGCAGGATATAGATATTTG